AAACAAACCAAATAATTTTACGGACGTTACTCATAATTTATCCTTTCCTACATTGGTATAAAAAAGTAATAAATACTGCAGAACTAAGAGTAATCCGCAGTAAAAAGTCTTGTTTTTAACGGACTGATTTTCACTGGTAGTAATAAAAGTATCAGAAACTAAAGAACAGTAGATTTATGACATAAAGCTAAAAAAGAGCTAATATTCCGTGCATGGCTCTCAAATTATCACCCTTCTTTCTGCTCATGGCTCATAAAACACCGTATTCAAGTCAAGAATGATACAATAAATATTTATTTATGAGTCTTTGTGAACTATTTCGCTCAAAAATATTTAATAAATTATGTGCACGGCAGACTGTTACTTGGCGAGATATACTTTTTTCTAAAATATTTGAGAAAAAAATCGAGTGTAAACAAGAGATCCTTGATTTACTATGAAATAGACTGAGAGAACGTTAAAAAACATGACAAATCTGTTAAGAATTTTTTGTATCACCGTTGAGAATTTGTTTTCGTGCATAATTATTATGCAAATAATAACAATGAAACCTATATAAATTTAATGTTTATTATATTCCTTCACACGTTTAAAGGCTTTACGTTTCAGATATGTAACTTTTATGTCTCTACTTATCTAGTGCAAGGAACCCGAAACCGAATATTTTCTCTGAAATTTTGATTTCACAAGTTTCAAAAAGTATTTTAAGGATGTGCTGAATGTGAATACCAAAAGCAATAAAATGAACGACGAGATAAACTATAACAACGAAAAAAACCGTTAAGTTCTAGAAAATTCGAAATTTTGTAATAAAAAGGAGAGGATCTAAAACAGGTAATCGTTTCATCTGTTAACACTTGGTTTGCTTTCGCTCAAGTTGATGCAGCGTGAAGTATAAGTAAACAGATCGCAGGATTGTTACACGAAAAGGAAAATTCAGTTTAATCTTCTCATTCGACCTCTTTTCATGTTATTACAAGTTGAGTATTCGAAGGTGGATAAGTCGATCGATTAATTCCAAGGCCATGTCTCGTGCTGTTACTACAAGACAGGACAATTTTGTCATATTTCCTGTTGCACAGCGTGTTTGAGTGAGAGCTACATTCTCCTGTAGCCCTAGCGGCTGTTTTGTATTCCCAGGCGCAC